ATATCGTGAAGCTGAACGATTCACAGAAACCACTCCCCCTGGCACTGAAGCATTGAAGGACCACAAGGCCCATGTCCGATCATGAAGCTCTAGGCTATGGGCAGAGGAAGATATAGGATCCTGGCCATAAGTCTCCGTTTGGGACGTTTTTCCGTGTTGAGTGTACCGCGTTCTCGGTCCTCTCCTTGACACCTCCAATGGCTACTCCACGACGCATACTAGGTGAAATCGACGCGAATAGAAGGTGCAATCACGACTCATTACAAACAAAAATCCAAGGGGTTGTTACAAGCACGGGAGTCAGCCTGGTCTCCAGCGAGGCTGGATCACGTGACATACGTCGCCTAGGGGGAGCAGAGAACAGATACAGTCAAAAGCAAGGTGGACCGAGCTTTAAGCCGCATGGTAAACCACCCGAACACCGCACCCGATTAATAATCCGATCCTGGACCCGCATCCCAGTACCTACGGCTAATGCCGCTCTTCCCCTCGAGGCATCCTCAGAGAAAACAATGGCAAACTCGTGGTGGAGAACAACGTACAAGAAGGAAGGCAGGTCACACAGGCTCCCACAGGTCACAAGGCCGGAGGTTCAACGATTGACATGCTGGCGGCCCCTACGTGGTCGGGGCGAGATACGACTGCGATGGAAGGGCGAGACACAGAAGAGCCGCTCCCCGGTCTCATGTTCTCAGGTCAGGGAGAGGAGAAGGGGCTTCACCGCAGCCGCAGGCATGGCTAATGTGGGTGTCCCTGTCACCGCCGCCACGGCACCACTGGAGACCTTTATGCTCGTGCTATGGACACTCCCTAGCTCTTCCAATAGGCGTTGCTAAACCCATTCTCACCACTGCTTTCGACGAAAATCCCGTGCTATTGATTGACAGTCCTTGAGCTCACGGGCCAACAGCGCGATTCTTTGATAGATCGAGTACTGAGACAGTGGCCATCCCAAGATCCCAAGCGAAGTCGCTCACAACCCCCGGGCTCGGTCACGAGCCACGGAGAGGAGGTCGCCCTTTTCCGTTTCCCGAACCAGTTGGCCCTTCCGGAAGACTCAATGCGCCTCCACGCAATCAATCGCCGGCTTCATATCAAGAGACGCTGTCATTTGTGGAAAAGAAGGGTAGGGGATCCCGACCGGTCATATGCTGGAGAGCGTTTCCACTACTTGATTAAGTGGGGCAAGGTTGAAGGGTATGGCGATCGTGATTCGGACTGAGCTGAATGTTCTTGGTGTCTCTGAGCTGTCAAAAGTCACAGGCGAGGACGGCACAACGACACTAGTAGTGGAGGTGTCCTCACGCAGGCGTCCTGGTGCCTGACCACACGGCGCACGACGCGACCGGCACAGTCACGTATCCCTTGCCCCTGTTGCACAGTGCTCTCGCACTCTTGCGTACGACACGCGCTCCTCTCACAACTGAAGCGAGTGATGACCTCCTTTGTATACATATCGGAGGGGGGCTCTCACGGAAGACCCCGAGGTGGCTCCCACAGCCCACGACGGTTTCTGGGCGGGGATGTCGGTCGACCACTCGAAATCCTGTGACTCACCATCGTGGCTGAGCCAGACGGGGTATTCGAGAGTCCGGCGGGGTGCAGGGGGAGGAGAGGACGCCCGATGCATTCAACCGTTTCCATGAGCCAACGCTCGACCCTGTGGAACCGGGAAAGGTTCAATGGACGTAGAGCCCGGTGAAATGCCATAGATGCCAATGGTCAGGATCGTTTCGACCGATCGGTCGGAGTGGGACAGCAATGTCCTCGTCCTAACTTATGAGACCTGGGGTTTGTATGTCGTCGTGGTGTTAACGGTCCCACCGTTTGCACCATCATTCGATCTCTATTGAGGCTGTGTGTCCTTCGGTGACCCCCTCTAGGAGCCGGTCGCTTCCACTTCCTTTCCAGTTAGATGCGTCGGGTGGGTGAGAAGGAGAAGGGATGTTTTCACGTTCGTAAAGGGATGATGTGAAAAGCGGGTGCGCGGGACAGGAGAGGGTTCGACGGCATTATTTTTGTGGACCTTGGGGAATCAACGGTGGATGCACCTCGCCTGGAATCTCCTTGTGATGGTGTCGGACGGTGGCATTTCGTGAATCTTTACATCTTAGATCTCACACACTTTCAATGCGGTATGGGACCGAATTTTGATGAGATGAAAGAGAGAGCAAGAAGGACTTCTTGCCAAACGATCCCAGTCAACGGACTTATCAGGCTCTGAGGCAACGTGGCCCAGGAGGTGTTTGGTGGGGGTCGAACAGTGGCCCCATTGGCTGTCCAACTCTCGGCGGCGTCTATTGGAGCTCTCGGATTCGTGCCTTGTCATTGGCCAGAGTCTGCTCCGCCACCACCGAGCCGGGCGCCTGCTAGGCTGATTCATGATGGTCAGGTTAAAGGTCGTTCAAGTTCCTTCAACTTCTCCCACCTTCTATTGTCGACCTTTTAATTACAATACTGTACAAGTCTGTCGTCCAGCGCTTTCGTGGAGCCCAATCGCCCCTGCCGCAGTGTTCACACAATGTCCAGCCTACCTGAGCTAATTAACCAGTTGCAAAAGCTGGAGACAGGAAAGGATGAGCTGGACGCAGGAAATCATCCGCTCTTAAAGGTAGATATCTCATCTGGAAATCTTGCAATACCGATCCTATTACTTATCTCCTGGTAGGGTGTCGTTGGGCAGTTGCAGGAGATTCAAATTAAGTTGGAGGCGTTTCGGAAGCTCTGCAGAACGCAACAGGGAGATCTGAAGACGAAGGATCAAGCGCTAGAGACGAAGAATCAACTTCTGGAGAGAGCGGGTGAAGATCTGGAGAGCGCGAAACAAGCTGTGGAGAGAGCGGAGCAGCAGAGGGAGAGAGCAGAACAAGATATTGGTGGACTTCTAAAGACTATGGTGCGCAATCACACCCGGACCGTGGAGCTAATTCTCATTCGAAGACAGCAACGTGATCCTTTCGTACTGTTCCTCGCCGATGGAGATATCACCCAGGTAAGAACTAAGTCGATGAGACTAGGCGACCATGTCCGGTCTCACAACACTCAAACAGTTCTCCGATGATTATATCAAGAGAGGAACCGCCGGTGGCCACGATGCCGCTCGCGACTTGAGGAAAGCTGTTTATGATTACCTTGAGCCCAAGCCCGATTTTTTGCCCAACACCAAGATTATTATCCATATCTTTGCCAATGTCGCACGTATGATAAAGACGTACCAGGAGTCGAGGACGGTGACCGATCCCGCTATTCTCCCCCAGTTCCTGCAAGGTTTCAACCGAGAACACGCACTCTCATGTTTTATCGACGCCGGAGATGATAAGGAAGCTGCGGACAGTAAAGTCAAAGGTTCGTGATCTCGAGATGGTGGAGCATGACTGACCGACACCAGCGGAAATGTGTGTGTTTTTCAACAATACACACTGTACACACATCATGTTTGCCGGATCTGGCGACAACAGTTGCGCTGGGCTTCTGAGGCAGCATATAACCACGGATCGAGTCTACCCCAGAATTGTTCTGGTTGAGTACGTCGAGTCCGCCGACAAGTTCAAGAAGACAGAATTCAAGACTCTCTTTAAGGACACCAAAATAGACGCCAGAAGAGCGCCGTGTCGAAGTGAGGTGGTCAGCCGTCCTCAAAGATCACCACCTCCAAGTTACGCGTCGACCGTGAAGCAGATGCAACGGGGTAGTTTTCCCCAAGCTAAGACCAACTCTGCGGCTCCCGAACGTCCAAAGGGTGGGAAAATCTACCTGAATCAGCACGGACAGCGTGTCGACCAAGGGGTGAAACTTGATTGGGCATGGGTCGCTGATCTCAAACGCAGGAAACTTTGCAATCGACATTTCCTCACTCGATGCAATTATGTTTTTTGCTCGCACTCTCATGAGGGAAAGTTAACCACGGAACAAAAGGAATCCTTGCTATATATCGCTCGGTCATGGCCTTGTAGTCAAGGGTTGAATTGCGAGGACCCCGATTGTGTTGCCGGCCATCGGTGTAGGGCGGGACACAATTGTAAATGGCGAGTGTGCCGATTTACTGAGGAGATGCATAACGTGGACACCGTCATCGCCCGATCTGTACCCCGCTGGGTGAGCGGGAATAAACATGAAGGTTAACCTCGTCGACTATCTCCTTCGAGCCGCCGAACGAGGCTTCCCCATTCCCCTCCAACTCCTACCTTTTTTTGGCACATGTAATCGGTCGTCAGCGCTCCTCTCCATCCTCGATCACGGCGGCGGACGTCGAGCTGGAACCTCCACGCAAGAACTGGGTTCGAGGCTTCCGTGCGCGTCACCCGGAAATCGCAGCAAAGAAATTGAGGCCCATGGATTGGGCTAGGAACGACATCTATGAGAAGGTCGCTCACTGGTTCACCGTGATCGAGAGGGAGTGGTCTTGGTTTCGTGGATGTTCAGTTTGATCAGGATGATCTTCGGGAGCGGCGGGTCGTCGTGTCAGAGCTGACCCCGCCTGTCCAAACGGCTCGAGGTAAATTTAAGAACCTGTTGCCTTTCCTGACGGTCGACAAGCCCGTTGATCTGCATGTGAAACTTCATCTGGAGACGCCGGAAGATCGTGGTACGTGACTCTTTCCTCCTATGTGGGTCATGAGCAACGTAGCTAACGTGTAAATCTGGCATGTCGCGTACGGTTTTCCATTGAATATTAGTTTCACAAGGTCGGATACGCGGTCGCAGTCTAAGTCTTCGTCTTCGGTATTCACAACCCCGACGAAGCCGCGTATGCTTGGGTCTCTACCGCCGGTTGTTGACTCGTCGCCAGTAGCATCTTCCCCAAGGCTTAAGGATAAGGGTAAAGCTTCGAACTCGATGACGGAGGGTCGACTATCTCCATCCCGGCCTGTTAGTGATGAAGACGACGATGTGGCTGCCCTTGCCTTACACCGCACTGAGTCGCCTTTGTTGTCGCCTGCCTCGGGGGAATGTCCGGAGCCTCTGAACTCCCCTACGACCGATGCTGACATCACTCAGGATCGGTCTTCCTCGAGACCGAGGCGTAAGAGGGCTCGTCAGCAGGCGTCTAACGAGTAGGCGGCTCTGAAACTGCGACTTGTAAATCTCTTGACGTCGGTGTTTTATCAGCCTGTAGTAATTATATACTACTTGGTTATGCGCCGTCTTGAAATCTGCGTAATATGTACACTTTAGTCTTTAGCCTCGACTCTTTTGGAGAGCCGCCAGTAATATCTGGGTTATTTTGGCGCTATGGTTTTGCTTTTTGGGCGTGACGTGGGGTATAAACGAACCGGGCTGCTTAGGTCTTGGATATTCCACTTATGTCCCTACCACTCTAACTTGCTTGACTGTCTATGGTGTGTCCCTACGATGGCAGACTCGCCTCTTGCCGAGCGACAGTTATCTACTCTCGAAGTCACCCGGCGCCTTGCAACCCAGAATGTTGCATTGCGGGTGCCTGGCAGCTCAGCGCGACATGAATCAATAAGGCAGCATGTATGTCCCGACTGTGGGCGCGTCTTCAACCGCGCCGCCCATCTTCGAGCCCATGCGGCCATCCATAGTCGTCATTACGGGCGCGGCCGGCACAGGGAAGAGTTTTCTATGAAAGCAGCTTGAGCTATGGTTTGACGCTCAGCGCCTGCACTCCCTCAAGATGGTGCCCACGGGGCATCGCGGCTCTTAATATTAATGGCACTACGATTCACTCTGCATTACGCATTCGATCCAGGGAGTCTGGCTACGGATACGAGAGCCTCGCCCTATCAACCGGGGAGTCGAAATCTCAACTTCGCAAAGTTCGCGTCATCATTGATGAGGTATCTATGCTTGAAGCGGAGCTGCTCAACTTTATTGCGAAGCTATTTGCGCGTCTTCACCGACAGGTCACTCCGTTCGGCCCTGTTCATGTTATATTGCTTGGGGGCTTGATGCAGCTGCCGCCAGTTTCTGGCTCGCAGGTTTTCAGGGCTCATTGCTGGTCTACATTTGCGCCCTTATTCCTGCGCAGGTCCCAGAGGCAGGCCACCGATCCCCTATTCTACGACATCCTCAATGCCATCTGTATGAGCAACATGACGCCTGCAGTATTAAATTGTTGCGTGACCGGTCGCTCGCCTACCCACGTAAGGATGTTACATTGGAGACGATATTCTTGGTCGGTTTGCGCTCTGCCGCAGCGGCTCTTAATGCTGAGATGACGACAATGCTACGCGACGCCACACGTTCGACTTTTACATACGTGAGCGTAAACTTTGAGGGCGGACCATGATCCGCCATGGGAAATCGGAGCGTTCATTTAAGAGGCATACAACTCCACAAATATATTGGAGGGATGGAAGCCTGGCTGTAAGTTTCGTCAAATATGTCTCCTCAACCCATCGCTGCCTCCTTCTTGAGTCACGATAACCCCGGTCACTCTTCAGTAGGGCAACATGAGGGTGCCCGATATTCTGCTCTATTCCAGAAGGACGCTTACGACAACGTGTTGGTGGTTGGGCCGTACCACGCGTTTTGGATCCCCTCCTTAAACGCTCCTCATTTTCGGATCAGTCATGATGCAGGATTCGTTGCATAGACCCGAACAGGGGGTAAGCCGCCATAGTTGAGGATTGTTAGAATAGAGTCTAGGCCTGAAGACGTGTCTCGATTGATTTAAAGCTACAGTATTTATCAAGCAGGTCTATCCCCACTATTAAAACTACGGGACCATCGATCACCTTTTACCTGTCCTTTATCCGGTCATTGGCGCAAAGCTATTCATTCTGTAAGACCTTTCCCCAATCATGGGTCTATCTATCTTGAATGTTTCCAACCGCATTTGGCCATTGAGGTCTTGGTAAGAGCTGAGCGTCACTAGTCTCTAAACGGTACAACAGCTGTCTGGCTCCGACTATTGCGCTTTTCTAGAGCACGTGTCTCTCTTCGGAGTTTATTTGCAATCGTTCGCAAGCCTGTTTTTCGAACTGTTCATCCATTCTCCGAAGTCTGTCGATTTCTTGCTGCCTTATTGCTTCTCTTCCCTTTGTTGCTTGCTGTCGTGCTGCCGCCCGACGGTATTCTATTTCACCCTTCGTAGGAGCCCGTTCCTCGGTTCTAATGAATCACTCAAAGTGAGCGGGCTAGTCTGACCAAGAGGGTAGGATGCTTACAGGAGGGGCTGGTTCTCGTCGTTTTCCATGTTTTGGCGATTAAAGTTGGCGTGCAGGATAAACGAAGACACCGAACATCCACAGGGCTTTTTATAAATGTAGAACCTACGCCTTGCCAGTGCTGTACCAGAATTTCTTGGCTTGGCGCACCGTAGAGCTACCTTATCTTCCTGTCGGATTCGTATTTTCCCTTGCACAACCCTAGTACATTGGCTTGTTAAAATGAGCTGGCAGCAGCTGGCATCCCTGTCTCATCGGTGTCTCGGGCATCGTCGATGCAATACCCACGAAGACACGGAGGACACGTCAGTCTCAATGATCAGGCTACACTAGATTTATTTTCCAACCGTAGATCTATCACAATGACTCTTGTGGCGGAATCAGGTCACATATGCCCCGAGGAGACGACACTTCGGGATTGGAGGATATTGGACTCAACCTTCAGTGATTATGCAACAGGCCAGCTCCATCTCGATGTAGACTTTGCTTTTGGGTTTTCAAAGTTGAGAGAAAGTGTGATCTAGTCAGGAGGTAAGAACTACAGGGAGAAGGAGCTATTTAAGAGCTTACCTGTAGTGTAGATCGAGATTCTATCGTTAAGGCTCGATGTCTCCTCGGTCAATCTGTACTGTACGGCAGCACTGGTGATAGCCAGTTCCGGGGGCACGTCTGTAGGGGAAAAGCGGTGTGGTCGTGAGTCACGCGCTAACATCCGGACAGGCAAAACAGAGTTCCATCAACATCGCTTTCTGCAGGTGTGCCCTGTTGAGGTTGCCTTTTCACCTCTCAATGGTGGTGACGCCTTCCTGTGAGGCGGACATTTGTGGACCGTGGTGGCAAGCCATTCGTTTCTCTCCACGTCTGTAGCTAGTTAAAGTGGGGCGGCGCCAGTGCTGCACCTTGTAAAATGGAGATCATCGTGAACTACACACTGATCAAAGAAGATCGCTGGGAGAAAAGATGATTCGGGTTGCAAAGCACCACTCTGTTATGGCTCCTGCTGATTGTAGCTAAGTTGCTTTGCGCTAGTCAGTCTACGGAATCCGCTTCGCACCAGTCCCGAGCCATTATCGACTCCTACTGTGGTAAAGGGGGAGCAATCGAGCAAAAGGGAAATGGGCATGAGTGGAGGGAAGAAACGTTTGATGCCCGATCTCACTAAATACGTCCAAGTATCGTGAAATCCTTCAAAAATAGCATTTCAATCAAGCAGACGGATTCAATCAGCGCGTAGCTTCTTAAGTGGGGATCCGGAACTTTCTAAGGCGCAAGCACGAGAGGATGAAGTAAATCACCCTTATTTCCGTCCTGCCACAGTTCACTTCGATTTGGGCCAGCATTGCACTTCCCGGAATAACAGGTCCAATGTAATGCCCGCCAGTTGTCCACCCCACTGCATATGAGAGAGCGATTTAGGCGGTTCCCATGGGATCGGTGTTTTTACAGTAGCGGGAATTCGCCTAGGGCGATACTGGTCGCGACAATTACCAGTACGAAACCGATTGAACCCTCCCACCGACCTTCTAGTCACGTGCATCGCCTCCCAAGACCCTGCCACGTCGGGCGGCAGGGCTTCGTACTTCGTACCGTTTCAATCTGGGCCTTCACCCTGGCCAGCGTGTCCAGGTGTCATCTTTTGCGCGCATCCATGTGCTAGCTCTCACGCGCCAGCACATACAGCCAAATTCAGCGATGTTGCGGCTCGTCCACCTTCACCAACTGGGTCATCCCCAGATCGCTTGCTTCTGAACTGGATCGGAGCTCTTTCGCGCCTGGTCGTCCCTGCGTAATTTAATACCTAGCCCTATTGCCATCGGAAATTCGGTGTCTGCACTCCTCAACCTCTCTACACCATGCCCGACATGAATGATGCCGAAAGTCCCCACCCAGTCGACGTTGACGGTGCCCAGGCCAGCCCAGGCGGGGTGGTGGCAAGGAATGAACGAGCACTGACCGAAGACCAGGCTCTGGAAAGGGACGCCATGCTGACCCACAAGGCCGCATACAATCTCGGCCGGGAGTATCACGACCAGGGTAAACTGAGCGAAGCGGAGGAGCTGTACGACCGAGCGCTGGTTGGGTACGAGAAAGAACGCGGAGCGGATAATCTGGACACCCTCCGCGTCGTCTACGATCTCGGCTGGGTGTATCACGACCAGGGTAAACTGAGCGAAGCGGAGGAGCTGTACGACCGAGCGCGGGCTGGGTTCGAGACAAAATGGGGAGTGAACAACGTATTGACCTTCACCACCGTTAGAAGGCTCGGTGAGGTGTATTATACCCAAGACAAACTAGTCGAGGCGGGAAAGATGTTCGAACGAGCGCTGGTTGGGTACGAGAAAAAATTCGGAGCGGATGATCTGATGACCCTCGCTCTCGTATACGACCTCGGCCAGGTCTATTATGCCCGCGGCGAACTGGTGGAGGCGGGAAAGATGTTTGAACGAGCGCTGGTTGGGTACGAGAAAGAACCCGGAGCGGATGATCTGGTGACCCTCGGCGTCGCTTACAATCTCGGCCAGGTCTATTATTTCCGAGGTAAACTGGCCGAGGCGGGAAGGATGTTTGAACGAGCGCTGGTTGGGTACGAGAAAGAACGCGGAGCGGATGATCTAGAGGCCCTCGCTGTCGCACGCGATCTCGGCCAGGTGTACCACGACCAGGGT